TCCCACACTGAATTGGAACTCTGTAGGATTAATGTTGCTGGCCTTATCTTTTTGAGGAAAGGAACCCGTCAGTTCTGAAGCCTTTGTATCTATGTGTCTTCAGACCTTTCGAGCTGAACTGTGTGAAAGTGCCAATGCTCAACTGTTTTTTTAATATTGATTGATTTTACTTTAACTTATTGAGAGAGAGGGCGCAAGTGGGGGGGGGGACAGAATCCTATAAGGGCAGAGAGAGAGGGAGGCAGAGGAAGGGGAGGGGGAAGAGAGTGAGAAAGAGAAGGAGAGACAGAGAGAGAGACAGAGAGAGAGAGAAGTGGAGCTCACCTTAAGCAGGGCATGAGCTCACCTGATGTAGGACTCAAACTCACCAACTATGAGATCATGACCTTGAGCTGAAGTCAGATGCTTAACTGACTGAGCCACTCAGGTGCCCGTCTTTTTTTTTTAATGTTTATTTATTTATTTTGAGAGAGAGCACAGGAGGGGGAGGGGTGGGGAGAGGGGGGAGAGAGAATCCTAACTGTCAGTGCAGAGCCCAACTTGGGACTTGATCTCAGGAACCATGAGGTCGTGACCTAAGCCACCCAGCCACCCTCAAATGTTTTTAATGCACAAAATTACATTTCACAGGATTCCACCTAATACAATGTCCAGTCTCACTAGGATCCTGAGCAGCTCACTGCAGTTAAAATGTTCAATGTCATGGAGTTGCATTTTAAAGTGGAGGCTTTATTTTGCTGTTTCTGCTTTTCTGAATACAGGAAGAAGGTTATGTTAGAAAAGCATACTCCTCTCTCAGTCATTTGAAACTCAGAATGCATTTTCCACAGAAATAAAACGGGGATGGGATCCCAGGCTAGACCTCAAAGGCTACCCAACTTTCAGATAACTAAATACTTCACATTTAATAAAGCAAAAACGACTGCAATGACAGAAATTAAATAAATAATAAATTTAAAATAATGAATATTTTAATTTTGAATACTGCTTACAAAAAAGCGATTTCATATTATGGATACTTGACTGGAAGCATATTTTTTATGTCTAACTTCAAAATATGAAGCAGATTTCCTTTCCCTTAATTTATATTCTACCAGCAATAATATGAGGCACAATCATATAATAAAGTAGGCATCCACAATTTATATTTCTAAAACACTCTAGAAAAGCTACGATTCTAAACTAAATATTCTACTGAAAGAATCCCTTACACAAAAATCTTTCCTGGTCACTCCATGCATTCCCCATTTTTTCCTTAATTTGATACTTTTTACCCCTCCCTGTTATATAAGGATTTGCCCCCCACCAGAACGTAATCTCCTGCAAGGATCCCATCTGATTTACCTTGTGTTTCTCTCAGCACTGGGCTCTGACCACAGTTGGCCTTCAATAAAAATTATAAATCAAAGCAGGTTGTGCTTTAGTAAAAAGAGCTGACATTAAACTCAAGCAAGCCCTATCTATCATCACAACTCACAATCCTAGACATGGCGAAACCCACACTGGAATGGGGAACTTCCAACGGCTCTGCACGGACTACCTCCGTGATCCTGAATAAATAAAAAAATCACTGAGGCTATAAATGTTTAGGATCGGGGACTTTGTACCACGTTTTCCCTGACACCCGGTATTTGATAATCATCTACCGCTTTAGCCACCTTGCACCTGTATGCAAAACCCTCACATGATGATGATATAGGGATCAGCTTTAAATGAGTGCTAAAAGTATAGGCTATCCTCTCCTGGCTCCTTTTCTATGTAAGATCTACCAAATCAGACCACAGAAAATGGTTATTTCAAATGTGGCTAACTGGGATTCCTTTAGTGAGCTTTTAAAATAAAAAACAGGATAGAGTTGCTGGTAGTATTCGTCAGTAATAACCAGGAATGCTCCAGTCATGCTCCTACTGCTCCTTGTAAGCTTATGAGCAGTGAGATGAAAGAATTTCCAAAATCAGGTCCAAGGGGGAGGGGGTGACTTGTGCTCAGAATGAGTACAAGAAAAAATAATGGGTTGGGTTAATTATTTAGATCAGACCCAGGGTCAGAGCTGCCTCTTTCAGAGACAAGAATTTGACACAGGACAAATAAATGAGCCCCTCTCTAGAGTGGTGTGTGGCCACGGAAATGTTCTACATCGACACCGTCGGGTAGTCTGGCCACAAGCCACGCTGTGACTGAGCACTTCAACTGTGCGGACCGAAGAACTCCAGTTTAGATTTCATTTTATCTTAATTAATCGAAATTTAAGGTTAAGTAGCCGGAGGTGGCTAGTGGCTGCTGTACTGGACAGCAGGGCCCCAGGGAGCCACTGCTTCCCGGGGAGACTGTGGCTGTCACGCTGCGGGAAGTGCTCGGGCAGAGGCCAGGGATGCTGCTGAAACACACAGCCCACAGGACGGCCTCTCACAACGGAGAATGGGCGGGCCCACAAGGCAAGCGGTGCTGAGGGCGAGGCACTCTGCTTCCAGTCTACTCAGGGCTGGAATTAGAGTAAATGCAAATAAATTGCAGTACACTCTGTCTAAACACAATCCGCAGGAAGAATGAGCTTTTCCAAGCAACAGGGAAAGGTCTGGACTGTGGTACAAGTTAAAAGTAGCACATTTCTGCTTAAAAAATGTATGTAGGTGTGTTAACTTCGTAAGATCTAAGGCATCAGAATAATTCCTTCCTGTGGCATTTTTTTTTTTTTACTTGACTATTAAGCTGAGTAAACACTATGTGACGGGGCCTTGTTCCTTATGAGCGGGACGTACGGTACTGGGGTGCTGAGGCTCCCATACCTACTCTTCTAGTTTAAATTCCTTGCCCCTTCACTGACCTATCTGGTTTCTCAGACCTAAGTTCAGAGACGACGGACACTGCTGCGCGGCTCTGTGGTCCCAGGTCTCCCACCCACATATCATCTAAAGAAAAAGCACGCGTTACAGAATCACATCCGGACCAAAGGGAACTCAGTGCCTGATTCTCCTAAATGATGACAGCATACTACACTTTAGAGAGAGCAGTTACTTGAAATGAGAGAATGGGAATCAAATAACGTCATGGTTTCTGTAGCCAGTATAAATTATGCAAGGATCGGTTTAAATGGGATCATTCAGAATGGCTCAAATAGTTCTCATATTCATATTAGCAGTGTAGAATTTTGCCCCAGTCTATTCCTCAAAGAAGCAGGAATAATAGACGCAATTCAATGTTTCTACGTTGATTCAAACTGTTTTTCTCAACCTAAAATCCTATTCAACATTCGTGTTACAGGAATTCTTTTTTCTGCCCACTTAGCACCAGTAGAAATTGCTCATCACGTATGCGGCCCTCCGCCGCTTCAGGGAATATAAGAATAAGACACAGTCCTGGTTCTGAAACACTTACATTCAGAATTTCCATACAGGCCTGAGGCGGAACCTTCTGGCCCACACCTTCTGAATTCCTGACGGATCACTGCCATTTCTGCCCGTGCTCCAGCCCCAGCACTCCCCGGCTCTCAGTGCCTCTTCCCATCTTCATCTGGGGAGACTGAGGTCTTCATCACCCGCTGTTACAGGGAGAGACCAGTGTCCTCTACTAATCAAACGCCAGGAAAGCAGTATCTCAAGCAGGATTCTGACCCACTCTTTTTTGCAGATTTGCCTATAAAAAAACTATTCTTGAAGGAGAGATCACCCCAGTTCCCTAGGTTTCTCACTGAACAGACACAGAGCCCTCCTGGCGTATGAAACCAGACAGGAAACATCACTGAAGGGATCATCTCAGCACGACTTCAGGGCCGGCTGTGGGTGTCACACACAGGACCCAGACCAGGACTTCCCAGCCTCAGCACCACTAACATTTCGAGCAGAGTTTTCTCTGCCGCGGAGGCTGTCTATGCACACAACAGCGGTGCGGCCTCGGGCTCTACACACTCGGCAACCGCCGCACCTCCCGACCCCACTGGTTGTGACCATCAGACACATCTCCAGACAAGCCGCCAACTGCCCCCCCGGGGAACGAATCGCTGATCTGGCCTGGAACTCCACGTACCACAAGGCAGACACTGTACTCATCAAAAGCCTGGGAAGACTTTATCCGTCGCCAGAAAAACAGGTTAACGCTAAAAACATACAATCCTTTTCTTAATTGCCTTCCGCCCCATCTATGCGACACGACGGGGGGGGGGGGGGGGGGGCTTCTGCGTGCCCATGAAGACACCTGGCCCAGCTGGTACAACTGCTTCCTTCGACTTTCCAGCGGCAAGGGAACAAATCTACAGCAGCTGCCGCACCGAAAAACGACCCAGCATATTACTGCTCCCAGTTCAAGATGAAAAGAAGGCAATCTTAAAACACTGGCATTGCTCCGGAATTCTACATGTGCAAAAAAAAAAAAAAAAAAGGCCTTGCTCCCGAATTCTACACGTGCAAATAATAACAACAATCGGGTCTGCACAGGCAGACTCCCAAGCTTGAAGACGGAGAAGGGCTTCGAGGGCGGGCAAAATGTCAGGTTCTGAAGCCAGGCATCCAAGCTCCGGTTCTCATTTACAAGCCCTAAATCCGGGACAACCAGCATCCATTTCCCTCGCCAGAGCAACCGGCCAGGTGCATCCTCACGCTGCTGCCTCCCCAAGACAAACTAGAGGAGAGAGCTGCTACCAGTGGATTTCAGACTGACGCGGGGGTCCCCCCTGGACACGAAAAGGGGGGAGGGGGTGACAAGCTGCGGAACAGCAGCAATCCCCAAAAGGCAAATCACAATCCAGAGAAAACGCACCCCTCCCGGACCTCGGGGGTCTTCACAAACTACAGCGCCGGACTCACGTGGGGGAACTTGTTAAACAAGCAGATCCCCGGCCCGCCCCCACGAGGTTCCCCACCCAGGGCCGAAAATCTGGGTGTTTACCAAGGGCCCCAGGTGATTCCTAGTCACGCTGAAGTTGGAAAACCACTGCTTTAACATTACCCGCCCCCCACCCCCACCCCCACCCCTGCGCTAACTTGGGAGACCCAGAGAAAACCTACAGGCTTGCACTTGGGTCTGAAAACGCCGGGGGTGCTGTCCAGGCTCTTCTGGGGTCGCAAGCTGTTAGCTCCGTCAGCCGGAAGGCTGAGCCGAGCTCGGGCAGGCCCCAAGGTCGGCGTCGCGGCACCCGCAGTGGGCTCCCGGCAGAACCGGCGCCGCCTCTCTCGGCCCACGGGGACCCGCGGGATTTCCGGCCCCTTGCCGTGACCAGGCCTGAGCCGCGAGCGCCCGACCGGGCGTCCTCGCGGCCAGCCGCCCCCACCCCCTCAGGCAGGGGCAGTTAGCCCCCCAGTCCCCTCCCAGGTCACAATGGCAGCTCGCGACCGGGAAACAGTCGCCCCGGAGGCGGAGGCGCCGGGCCGCAGTGCCGCCCCTCAGCCCGAGTACAGACCTTCTCCAGGGACGCGTCCATGGCTGAGGCGGCCGGTGGAGCCAGAGAATGGCCCCGAGGTCCGGGAACTACTTCCGCCTCCCGCGCCCCGCCGCGGTTTCCACGCTGGCAGCGCTGACGTCCCCCGCGGCCCCGGCCGGCGGGGCGGAGACCAGGAGGAGCTGCCCGGCGTCGCCGCGGGGTGGGAGATCTGCGGGTCTCAGAGAGGCGGGGCGGGGCGGGGCCTCTCGGGGTGGGCGGGGCCCTCCAGGCTTCCGTACCTGGCCGTCACGCCGGCCAGCCCTAACGTTCCCAGGTGAGGGGGGAGGTCCGGCGGAGCCGGTGCGAACTTTCACGAGCCCGTCGCAGGCGTCGGGGTAAACGTAGCATAACCGCAAGTGATCACTCCTGCACTGAGAGGCTGGAAATACTAGTAACGCACCTGTACTTCCGGGCCTAGGCCTCCAAGTTTTCCGCAACTGTCAACATCCCTCAGGAATGGAACAGGCCATGCACCACAGGAAGGCGGGGCTAGCGCGCACGCCCGCACATGCGCAGGATGGCCAGTTTGCTAGGGGCGGAGGAGTTTGCGTGGGCTTCAGGTGTTAGGTTCCCAAGTGGTCTCGGGTGTTCGAAAAGGGTGCTGATGCGAGCTGGGGCATCTGTTTCAGACCTCACCGCGGAATTTCAGACGGAAAAGACTTTGAAACAACTGGTGCGGCTTCATTATGTCAAGCCATAATTATGACTTGTCAGGTGATGATAATAGATCAGCTGCTGCTGTTCCACTTTAGGGCACAACAGCTCTATGGTGGAGAGATGGTTTTCCATGTCCTAGTGCTAGTCTAGGTGGGATCCAGACCCAAGCACCGTGACTGCTGCGCCTGTCCACCGCACAGACTGTCTCCGTAACCGCTTCCACCCCTTCCACACATCATGATGTGTTTCTAAGGAATGGGAGAGGGCAAACATTTGCTTATTATATTCCTCTAATGGGGAATACGGAAATAGACTAGTCTACCACGTTTGCAGTCAGAAAACACTTCAGCAAGGACCAATGACGTTACAACCACAAAACCATTGCTTCTATCTCCTCTTTCGTGCACATCTCTTCTGAAATCTACCTAAATGACTGGGTCACATTTTCAGTGTAGTAATTACACGTTTTGCCCTAACTTGTATTTGATAAATTGCCCAGTTAATAAAATTGTTTTCTACCAAAAGAAGCTTTGTGTGCCGGTTCAGAGTGTACCCTGGGAATTATTCAGATTCTTCAAAGAGCTCTGCAAACAGAAGAAAAGATTCATGTCTATTTATGCCTTACAAGATCTAACATTGAATGTACCTCTGCTTAAGCAAATCACTTTTTCCAACTTATGAAAATTTTCAAACATTTAGAAAAAGTTTAAAGAGTTGTACAATGAACACCCACATGCCCACTTTCTAGATTCTACAGTGAACATTTCCCTATAGTTGCTCTATTACATAAAAATCTGTTCAATATATCCTCCATTTTGATACATGTCAAAGTTGCAGACATCAATATATTTCATCCCTGAATATATCAGCATAGATACCATTAAAAATTCAAATTTCTTGTAAAAAGATCTTATTTGTAAGTAATCTCTATACCAAAGTGGGACTCAAACTCAGGACCCCAAGATCAAGAGTCACATGCTCCACTGACTGAGCCAGCCAGGCTCCCCCCAAAATCGGGTAATTTTTAAAGCCACCTCCAAGTATCTTTGGTTTATGTCACAAAGTAGATTCTACAAAATAGAAACGAGAAATGAAACTAACCTCTTCTATTTTATTTATTTTTAAGATTTTATTTTCAAATAATTTCCACACCCACTGTGGGGCTCGAACTCATAACCCCGACATCAAGAGTCGCATGCTCAACGGACTGAGCCAGCCAGGCGCCCCTAAGCTCTTCTATTTAAGAGCTTAAAAGTAACCTTTATAACATGAAAACTATTCCCCCCGTGAAAAACTCGGAATAATTGGTTCATTTAATATTTACCCAAATATATTTATTGGCTGCCATCTGGGACAGTCAGGTGCTAGAAATAAAAAAATAAAACAAGATCCACACAAGCATCCACTGTTTAGAACAGAAGTTTTTACTTTGGGACCCAGGGGGAGGCCCATAAAACTCCTGAAATTATATTCAAAATTTTGTATTACAAGTACATTTGGGGAAAATGTCCACAGCTTTCACTTTATACTCAAGTCTGTCACACACAGCAAAATAAGTTAAAACCATTTGGCTTGTGGATGGACAGCTATGTAAATGTAGCATTCTAGGAGCTAATACAGACATATGAGAAAAATATTGTAGGAAAACAAAACATGAAACCACTCATTGTGAGAACATTTGGCTTATATGTGCTGATACAGAACTTGAAATAGGCAAAAAAGAAACCAAGTAAAAGAAGTTTGTGGTTATTTTTCCCTTTGAGTCCATTCATGTGATTTTTGTTGTGTCCTCATTGATATTTACATAACCTTATTGAAGATGTTGCTTTTACCCTTTAGCTTTTTGAATCAACCAAGTGACACATACGGAAGATGTATCTATTATTCACCACGACAATGGAAAATTAATAAATTATCAAAAAGTGGGAGGGAAGTGAAGGTGAGTAGGAATATAAGTGGAATCACTAATGTTCTCAACTTCATTTCAGAGTAAATACTCTCTAAAAGGGATAAATCAAGATTCAAAGTCTTAATGTAATATTTTAAGGCATAAAGGGTGTTCACTTTTATTTCTAGAAGAAATAAAGTTAACAAAAATCAGGAAGTGGAGAGGATCGGAGAGCTGGTGCAAATGACAATAAACGTCTCATTTTTTATAATAAGGAAACAATTGGTTCTTTCTAAATTAAGAAACAGACACAATGATGTTTTTTTACAAAGTAGAAGGTAAAAGTTTCTACGGAATGGGAGGTGGGGAGGTTACAGATGAGGGAAAAGAAATTGGCAATATCCCATTTTATATTCTTCTACACTCTCGGAATAGTTACCGTTTGTATGCATTTCTCTCATGAATTAAAAAAGTTAAGTCAATTACCTGGAAAAAATGGATTTCAATCATTTTTAAACCTCACCGGGCAATTTCGGAGAGAAGTCTGCAGTTCCTCAAGGCGACTTGATGTGGCAGCACTGAGACAGATTGTAACCTCCTTGTTTCACCAAGTTTGCGAACATAGTTGAAAACAAAACAAAAACAGCAAAACCAAATTTTGATGTAAAAATAGAGGAAACAGCTTAAAAGAAATGAATCGTCCCTGACTAACACCCTATAACCTCCATCCCCTCCATGAGAGGAATCTTCTCAGACATCCCATAAGCTCTCCAGGAGCCCCTGCCCCAAACAATCCCAGCTCTCCCTCCCCCCCCCCACCAAAATAACCACCTTCTAATCTTTACAGTAATCATGTCCTTAGAATTCCTTTGCAGTTTTATCACCCAAACATACATCCATAAATACTATAAAAACATATCTAGGGGCACCTGGGTGGCTCAGTTGGTTAGGCATCTGACTTAGGTCAGCTCAGGTCATGATCTCCTGGCTCGTGAGATGGAGCCCCGTGTCCCACTGTGTGCTGTCCATGCAGAGCCCATTTCGGATCCTCTATCTCCCTCTCTCTGCCCCTCCTCTGCTCGCTCACTCTCTGTCTGTCAAAAATAAATAAACATTAAAATCTATATTTATATCTATAAATACATACACATAGTCTCTTTGTATAGTCTCTCCATATATATACATTCTTTTTCCCCAAAAGTTCTTTCCCAAAAATTCTTAATCCTTATTTATTTTTGAGAAAGAGAGAGACAGAGTGTGAGTGGAGGAGGAACAGAGAAAGAGGGAGATACACAATCCAAAGCAGGCTCCAGGCTCTGAGCTGTCAGCACACAGCCTGACGTAGGGCTAGAACTCACAAACTGCGAGATCATGACCTGAGCCGAAGTCAGACACTTAACCGGCTGAGCCATCCAGGGGCCCCTAGTCTCTTTTAATCAATAGGTATTCTTTGATCTTTTTTTTTCTTTACAATTGATTTGTTGAAGACAACAAATTTGTTGTGGAATTTTCCTTAGTCTGAATTTTCCTACAAATTGGCGGTTGGATCTAGGCTTAATCAGGTTTAGGTTTGAAGTTCTGGGGACTTATTCACAGATGGCTGTTGTTTTCTTCATCAAAAGGCACATGGTACCTGGTTTTCTCTTTCTGTGTTGTGAGCAGGCACTAACATTCTTGACTTTACATTAATTCTGACCTAAATGAGAAAAGCTGTGAATTTTCCTATGCCACATATATTTTTATATCCAAGGAGGTTTGCCAAGATACAATTTCTTCTCGCCCTCTTGTTTTTCTTTTTGTTTTGACATAATTTCAGACTTGTAGGAAAGTTGCAAGAAGACGACAAAGAATTCTCTCAAAGTCTTCACCCCAATTCCCTGTATGTTAACATGACACCGCATTTGCCATATTGTTCTCTCTAAATGAATAAAGAAATATGAACACACATGATTTTCCTCTGAATCATTTTGCAATCCGTTGCAGATGTCCTTTCATCTATAAATAACTTAATGATGTTACTTTCTAATCAATAGACTTTATTCATATTTTGACACTTTTCCCCAGAAAAGTCCTTGATAGAAAGTCTAGAATAGTGTGCTGTTGAATAGTTCTTCCAACAGAAGGAATATTTGAAAGTCTTGCAACAGATATGAGTACAGGACACTTTATAGAATGTCCATCAGTGTGGGTTTTCCATTTTAGAAGATCCTAATGTTATTTTGTATGCTTAGTGATTTTCCTCCATAAACGT